GATCATTCATCGCCATAATCATTATAACAGAGAAATTGGTCCGTAAATATTATGGTGATTTTCCTCAGGGTAATGTTCTTTGTACATTAAATCTATAAATTAGCGCTTCATGAAAACAAGCTAATTTTTCCAATTTTCTTCAACAAAATTTAGAAAAAAACTGATAGCTCCTCTAACAATACACCTATTACCAGACACTCCAAACTGTCTTTTCATGGATTTTTTTATTTTTCAAATCTTTTGATTTTGCTGGACAGTTCAAAGACAATATGATGGCACAAACAAATGGTGGAAAGAATGCACCCTAAAAGACAAACATCAGATCATTAACTGGAAGACAAGAGATAGTCAGATCACTTTGCATGAGCTGGGTTTTGCTCTGCTCTTGGCAACAAGCATTCTATGATTGGATGAGGTGGAAATGCAGGGAGATAATGTTGCAACCCCTGCTTTGTCCAGTCAAAGAACACCTTGTATTTCTTGTGAAAAATACAAGGCAATCTATGAATGGTACCTGGGCTGAGCATGGAGGCCCTGTGATCACTATGTAGCAGGACAACCACTCGGTATGGAACCTGGAAGACACTAATAACATAATGTTGCCTAAAAATTAGCAATACCTGCAATAATAAAGAGTCACTCACACATCAAACAAGGCCAAAGTGCCTGGATGTGGAATGCAAATATTGAAATAATTCAGCCATGATGCCATCCCATCATGTATGCATGACATGATGACATCTATTGGATGGGGTGGGATTTATAAGGAGGCAGTTTCCTACGCTCATTTGTTCCTATGCTCTCCGGAGAATACATAGGACTAGCCTTGGCAGCATTTTGATACATAGATACAGGTAAATTTTATTTTTTTATTTTATTTCAGGTAGTTATATAGCGCCATCAATTTACGCAGCAATTTTACATATATATCGTACATGCACATCAGTCCCTAACCCTCAAGGGGCATACAATCTAAGGCCCATAATTCATATTCACAGATACACATACTAGGGCCAATTTATACAGGATCCAGTTAACCTACCAGCATGTCTTTTTGGAGTGGTAAATAGGGCTTCATATACATATGGACATTATGACTTATTTTGGTGGCTACCTGATTTCATTTCAAAAGCTGTTATTTATTGGTTTCTCTCTATTGTGGGATTTCAATATTTTGCTGCTTTCCAAATCCAGGTAATTTTGCCCTGTTTGGTGTGTGAGTGGCTCTGCACTGTTGGAGGTATTGCCACTTGTAGGGAAATATTATGTTATTTATAAGGCTGTATGCACACTTGAGCGATTTGTAGCTTGAAACTCAAAGCTCCAAAAATACTTAAACTTAAAAAGATCAATTGATCTCTATGATGCCTGTCCACACATGATCGCATGAAGAGGCACCATAGAGAACAATTGTGTTGTTTAAGTTTGAGTGTCTTTGGAGCTTCAAGCTACAGATCACTTAAGTTTGACTGCAGCCTAAGAATTGGGCCTCATGCATATTCTGTCAATGCCACACCATCTTCCTTCTTTTCCACCATGCTACAAGGGCTATGTTCTTTTTTCCTGGAGGGAAACTGGGATAACATACACACGTATTGGTCCATTGTGCTATATGATGTCCTTAGGTCCTTGAAGTTGTCCTTCTATGGACTGAGTGTGGCTTTCCTGGGTTCCAAGATGAGGTTTGCTTTACTGGCTGACAAATTGTACTGTTTCCACATACTGTATCTGTAAGAGTTTCCACATTTCCATGAGTAACATATCTCTTATAGATAAGAATGTGCTCCTTTCCCTGAGGAGGAATTTGAAACACATCAGAAACTCCCACATATGCTGTTACAATAATACTGAACATGTTGATGATCTAGCGATGTGTCAATTATGGGCTAATGGGGCTTACTTCTTTTGTGAAACATTGACAATGTCAGCCTGTTATTTTACTATGTTTTAATGATTTTGTATAAACAAAATATTTTAGATTTTATATATTTGTTTTGAACCACTATAGTGCCTAAAAAGTCACAGTCTCTATTGTTAGTCGAGTTAAACAATAGATGGTACTGTGTTGCCATGGTAGTAGAGATTTCAACGCAACAAGACGAGGGTGGTGTGTTGCTGCCCATTACCACATCTCACTGCAAATAATAGGTGTGAATGGGCCCTAAATTTCTAACATCCGGCCACAGAGGCACTTTACGCCTGGTCAAACAAACATACGAAGAGATGGACCTGATTGCAAGGACTACAATGCTGCCTTTTTCCTTAACTAGTTCTCCTACTGCATATATGATATTATTGATCACTGACATCTTCAAAATACTACAGAGCTCTCTTGAGTCTATCTCACACATTGCAAATAGCCTGCTAAAAGTAGAGGTTAAGCCGAAGGTTAAACCCTGCTCCATTCAACAGATTCATTGTTTTAAGCAATCTGTACAGCATACAAAACAAGTACGCTGTTTGGGCTTCTGTTACAGCACAAATTCAGAAAAGGTTCTGGAACAATCTGCACTTGTGTTTTTTAATTAACAGTGATCAAGTAAATTTACATGATGAAAACACATTACTTAACATAAACGTGTCGCGTTATGAATTGAATTGTGGCAGGAGTATTTCAGGAAGAAATTGTGCCAGCGATGACATGGATGAATAGGCTGTGAAGCTGGCACGGGAGACATGAAATCCTGCCACATATCCAGATGATGTTTAGAGAATCAAGCAGTATATTCAAATTGCATACAAGAAAACAGTGTCAGTGACATCTATAATAAAACAGTATTGAAATATTACAATTCTTCTATTGAAGAAAAGATTGATTCATCAAAACACTACACAGAGCTTTCAAAATGCTCACAAGTCAATATTTTCTTTCAAAATAATGACTTGTCCTCTAAGTTTGCAGCGTGTGTAATTTTTTCATTAGGGCTTTGGAAAGTAATGACACTGATAGATGATGGTGCGGCTAATGTTCGCTTGTGAGACAAGCATATGTTCCTTGAGATGAAAATAAAAGCTCTAAAGTAAATGATAATGATTTAATTTTTATGCAGAAAGAGTCTGTAAGCAGTTCTCTTATGAAAAGAAGAGACGCTAGTATGCAATGCTGCTTTCTAGCAGGGAAACGTATTACACTCCATGGTTTTATTTAATGGTTTTTTGTGAAGTATCAAAGTGGTTTTGTGAGTAGGCATAATAACGGTACTGACCTGTGATATCAGCATTGTATAATTTGGTTTGTATGTGCCCCAAATGTAAATAATATATGTAAAGTATATGAGAATGATGTCATAAATAATTATGAAGCCCATTTGAAGGGATAATAACTTCAATATTCATTGCCTGAACATGCTTATAGTACACAGTGGTATGCTAGTACGTAGCCTGCCAAAATATTGACATTGATTACATTATATATAAAACAACCTAAATATCTACATTCATTTAAATATCTAAAATGCATCCTAAAATAGGAAGGAACTTCAGACCCTTAGCAATTCGGCACCATTTCCCCCCCGGCACCAACATATCTCTGTTTTGGAACATACATAGATGTGCAGAAGGGTTCTGCACAACCTTCGGGTCCAGCAGAGCTCTACAGCACATCTGCGTGTGTGCAGGGTTTTTTTCAAGCATGGACAGACATGCCAAGTTCTTGAATTTCTATAATGATGTCATCTTTGCACATGCACAGTAAACACGTGCATGCACAAATGTGCCTCAGGGTTCTTCCAGGACTTAGAGCTCTGCAGCACAACTGCCCATGTGCAGAAATGGAGGCAGCAAATGTCATTCTTGTCCAGCAAAAAAAAACACAATAAAGTTACAAAAATCCAAATGTGAAAGCTGGGGAGTGTGGGGAAGGACAGGGTATTTTTTTATATAGGATGAAGGTCCACTTTAGTTGTGGTCTAATGTTACGCTTAACCACAAAAAAAAACTGCTGGCTGTACTGGCAGATTTGGGGAACTCTTGGGGCATAGTAAAAATCCAACACTGAACATATTGCAGACACAGAAAATCAGAAAAGACAAACAGGGGTAAATCATGTTGCCAACTGGTGGTAAATGGCTCTCTCTGGGATTCAGGAACCATGAGCATTTGTTCTTCACAAAATCCATTGAAAGCAATGATGGACTTTTGTAGCAGGACAAACCCCAGTATGCATTTTGCACGATTTCCTACCTGGTGAACAGCAACCAAGCAAATAGGGAAAAATAGAGTGCCAGTATGCAGCATACAAGAACAGATGGACTCATAACCAGAAGCAACAGGACACGTATATAGCAACGGACAGGAGCAGAATCCAGAGCCAATACGGACAGCCAAGCAGTATAAGAAGCCAAAGCCTATACAAATAAGCACACAGGATCAGAAGATGAAAACAATACAGATGTAGGCACCCCAATTCAGGAAGAAATCTGTTTTGTTATGCATTTATAGAGGGCAGCCTAGGCTGCAGCTGTTTTATGTTTTTTTTTTATGGGGGGGGGGTTACACATATTTTGAGGTGTGTATGTTTCCCTAAACCTCCTTCATACATGTTTTTTGACTCTGTCAGCTACAGTTGAGCAGCTCCAGTAGTGTGTGTCACAGAGTTTGGCAGTAGGAGTTGGGAAATTTTTTTACTCTTGCCAGTCCCTGAGGAGTGTGGCCCAATGGGTTGTACTAAGGAGCTATTAAATATTTGATCCTGCCCCTTTTAGAAGGGTATATTCTTTTATGTTTGTCCTAGAGGGAGAGTTTCCATTAGGTTCTGGAGGAACCTGGGCTCCAGTATCCAGTGTAGCTTAAGCACATTTTTATTTTACCCTAACTTAATGAATTTGAAAGTGTCTTTTTTTAGAGTTAACAAAGAAAAACACAGCACCTCTAAGTGTGTACTGTGAAGATATTTAATAAAAAGATAAGTAGTAACTCACATCTTAGAATTTAAAAAACAGGCTCATGGGTAAGAGGGTGAGACGTCTGTAGCCAGATGTAGTTGTGTGTCTGATCCAAAGAGGAGATCGATTGAGTCCGTCAGCAGGTGGTGCTGTGCATGTGCAACATGGATGGTAAGCCTGGAGGAATCTCCAAGGTGTCTGCCAGCAGATGGTGCAGTGCATATACAGCATGGATGGTGGAATTTGGTAGGCAGGCTGCCTGATGAAAAAGCGCGCATGCACTCATCTGGTCCTGCACATGCTCAGAAACGCGTCGCATTTTGATGACGTCAGCTGCCACATGTGCTGATCCTGGACATATTGGAGACTCTACCAAGCTCCACCATCCATGCTGTATATGCACGGCACCATCTGCTGGCAGACACCTTGGAGATTCCACCAGGCTTACCATCCATGTTGCACATGCACAGCACCACCTGCTGATGGACTCAATTGATCTCCTCTTTGCATCAGACACACAACTACATCTGGCTACAGACGTCTCACCCTCTTAACCATGTAAGCCTGTTTTTAAATTCTAAAATGTGAGTTACTACTTATCTTTTTATTAAATACCTTCACAGTACACACTTAGAGGCGCTGTGTTTCTTTGTTTTCCCTTCTGCAGAGTTATGCTTCGCTCATACGCAGCTTGCCCTTAGTGCCTACTGGACTACCTTCACCCCTGCTTATTTGGAACTCATCAAACATACATGGACTGCCACACCATGCGCCTGTTATCCCTTTTGTCTTTTATTAGAGTTACAATTTTTAAATATGCATTTCTATGCATTTATACACAGAGATTAATACAATTTAATATTGACAGAGATTATTTTCAAACACTGTTGCAAAACCAGCTTGAAGCAGGTTCAATGCAGATCAGAAAGAGGTCAATTGCAAAGCAAATACACCGTCAGTGAACTCTGAAAAATCTCAGAAGAATCTCTAACTGATGTCAAACTGATGCAATGGACACAAGCCCAAAGCCTGTCATACCTAAATCTGTGGAACAATGTTATTATAGTCTTTTATTTTCTTCGCTGTCCATGAGAAGGTTTCCTCTTCAGCTGTCCACTTTGTTGCTTGGGTGACATGGACACTTCCTACTGGCTGTCCAGATGTGAAATCATCTTAGGCTCCAGAATACTGAACAGTATAGTGACCGGTCAGCATGTACACATACTGCAGCACTTGATCACTGGTTTTCATTCCCATCAGCAGAGCCAGTGAGGACATGGACAGGGAATTTAAGGGAATAAAAAAACAGCTTCAGAGGCTAGTTAATGTTTACAAGCTGGTAAATGGGTGGGATGGTATAGAACAGGGGTAGGCAACCTGCGGCTCTCAAGCTGTTGCAGGACTACAAGTTCCATCATGCCTCTGCAAGTCATAGCTGTAACTGTCAGTTTCGTAATGTTGCAATGCCTCATGGGAAATGTAGTTCCACAACAGCTAGAGAGCCACAGGTTGCCAACCCCAGGTATAGAAAAATAGGATGGTAGAGGGAGAGCTTTGCATGGAGATGGGCTTTAAAGAAAATGTAACAGCTTTAGCAATAACTGACCCTGCAGTAAAGTTGACATTTATATTGAGGCTTCCCTTGCCCCCAGATCTCCTTGCAGTCTTAAACTCACCTCTTTCCAATCCAGTGAGATATTGCCATTGAGACTGCAGAGCTTATTGTGAAACTTGTGTCAGCTAGGCCCAACAATGCTCCCTGTACTCTTTATTCAATCCTTTGTAGAGTTCATACTCCACAGAATACAATCTCTCTACTGCTGCCTGGCCTAGAAGAGTTTGCAATGTAGGTCTGAATATTCATTGGCAACAATTTACTGTATCAGAGACAGGTGAGTATAAGGATGGCAGGGGGACTGGAGTCAGCGAGAGGTTCAATGCAAGTGTAACTGCACCAGAGTTACAGTCAACTTTAAAATAAACCAGGTCATTCCTCTTGGTATCCCATCTAACAGTACCTGACCAAACTGACTGTTAATTGCTACCTTTCTCACTGCAAAAATCTCTAGCATTCCCTGGATTGTGGTTATAAAACCTCAAACTAGAAATCAGGGATTTGAATGTAAAGTGGAATTTTTGCACAGGCTTCTGGTATAAAATGCCACCATTCCCTCTTTTACACATTGGCTGGAACATTTACCTAAATTCGGCTAATAGAAAAAAATTTAAGTCAGTAATAATATGATGAATGAGGGAAGCTAAAGTTATGCCAGCCATAGATGGATTAAAACTTGGACAGGTCAGCAGGTACCAGATGATTTTCCATCTATGGGTAGGCTTGTCAATCTATTGATCAACTTCAGTACAACCAGCCTGTCAGGTTTTTTTTTTTTTTGTTTTGGTCGATTGCTACCAGTGGCTATAGCCACCAGTAGTGATCATTGTATTCTGACAGCTGGGAAACCTCCTGCTGTCAGAATAAAATAGTATAGCGGGAGGGACTCCACTGATTGTGTTGATGGAGGAATCATACAGTTTTCTTTGCTTCTGTCCATGGCTGATGGAAATAAATTTGCATAATGTATGGCCTGCCATTGTAAAATGGATTTTTACACAGAGATTTCACAGCTGCTCTCTAGGAATTTCTAGATAACTGTGATATGATAGAGGGAACAATAAAAAGCTTACAACAGCCTCTATGTGCTGGTACTGTTAGATGGGATAGCAAGAAGAATGGTATGGTTTTCATTAATTGAATTTTAAATGACATGTACATTTAATTCTAAACATCATAACAAAATAATATTAATAATTCCTTTAGTAGTGGCAATAGTAGTAGAAGTAGTAGTAACAATACAAATGAGTATTGTAACATTACAGTAACAATACAAATGAGTATTAACATTAGCACCACCCCAAAACTGATTTTCCATTTGCTGCTGTGTCTAACAAGACATAGCTAATTTTAAATGATATAATCTATAACATGTCTAATGGAACACTGCCAAGAAGTAAATTCTTCATATATACTTCATCTTTTTCTCAATGCATCATTAGAAATGCTTTTCAAACGCTATTTTACCTGAACTATTTGAAAAGCTCAGATCAGAAACAACCCATTATATTTAATGGGGAAATATTACCTTTGAAGTTAATAGGTAAAGAGGTGTAGTTAAAGTCAATATAGCAGTGTTCTTCCCATAATGTCAAAAGGAAATGCTTAGCCCAATGATTTCATGGCTTTAGCCCAATTAGGGAAGTAACAAACAAACAAAACTACAAAAACAGACAAAGGGAAGAAATGTTATGATTTGAAATACTTTAAATTATAATAATGTCACAATGCAATATTAAATAAGTTGTACAGCAAGTGGATCAGAAAAGAGTTTTCCCTCTTTTTGTTCATGTTCATTTGGGGAATCAGTCAAGTATCTTTAATGAGTAGAAAAGAAACCCAGAGCCCATATAAAACACTGATGGTTATATTAAGGTTGTACAATCAACAATATTGACGTGCAAAGTGCAACAATTAGCAGCAACCAATCATATTTAGTTTTTCATCAATTCAGAGAACACAACAATAAAATATGATTGCTCCCTATGCAGACTCAAGGCATGGAGTTACTTTACCATGAAAAATTGTGTTTTAAGCAATATGTACCCACATGGAAGAAAAATATATTTTAAATATATTTTAAAAATATTCTTCCCAAATATACTGACATATATTTGAAATACTACAATTTTGGACGTATTCAACATATTTCAAAATATTTATATATATATATATATATATATATATATATATATATATATATATACACACTGTATGTTGAAATGTGTTTTTTAGATATTACAAAATATATGAAAAATATTTTTTTTAAATATATTTTTTTAAATATATTCTTCAGATTTTTTTAACATATAAAAAGTCATTTTAACATATATTTTTACATATATTTGTAGATGCATTCCAAAAATGTAGATTAAATATATTTTTAAGGACATACAGTATATTTAAAAATGTATTTTTTTAAATATTTTTCATATATTTTGTAATATATAAAAAATGCATTTCAGCATACAGGATATATATATATATTGAAATATATTGAATAGGGCCACAATTGTAGTATTTCAAGTATATGTCAATATATTTGGGAAGAATATTTTTAAAATATATTTTTCTTCCATGTGGGTATTAGGGAATGGAAAGATCAGGTGAACCAAGAAAAATGAAAAAATGCCATTACGCATACATTCCAAACAGGAACAGACCTTGATACTTACATAGGCTGGCAGGCCAGTGCCTTAATTTTATATAACAATAAAGTCTAGGATGGACTTCATTCACTCTGTGGGATTGATTTACTAAAGGCGAATGCAATGTTCACTTTGTAATTGAAGTTGCATTTTATAAGAGTTCTTTCCCAAGAGCTCAGTGAATGGGGTGAAATTTCACTTTGTAAAAAATACCCAATCACATGCAAGAAACATTTAGAAAAAAAGACAGCATTTCTGCTTGCACATGATTGGATGTTGGAAGTCAACAGAGCTTAATCTTTTTTAATATGCTCCTAGAAAATTTCCATTACAAAGTGCAACTGCTTTTGAAATGTGAACAGTTCATTTGCCTTTAGTAAATCAACATCTATCATTCCTTGTCAAACATGCTAACATGAAAAAGAGTTTCCATTCTGATTTATATACCCATTTTATACAAGATACTAGGTACTGAGCATGTTTTTGGTCATACAATACTTTTTAGGCACCAATAAAGTGGCAAATAATTGAAATCTAGACTAAGACATAGGACAATGAGCAGAGTCCCAAACATTGGATCAAAATCAGTTTTTTTTGTTGGTGATTATATTATTTAAATGAATGGAACCAGCAAGATAACTTCCCCGTCTGCATGTACACAGGCATTGTAGAGAGAAGTAAGGATAAATATACTGTATATTTCTGTACTGTCTTTATTTTCCAGGTACCACCTCCATTGCAGATGTGTTAGAGTACTGGAGCAGAACAGACTCCAACAGCAGCACGGGGTATCAATCAAGTTTTATCTTTCAATTTCTGGTCTTCAGTAAGTATTGACTGGCTGCTCTAGTCATCCGTTTTCTCAGGGTTGTTTAACAATTAAGCCTCGAGCATTATGGGAAAAACTCTAGGCATAGTACCCCTTTGTAAAAGACAACATTCAGCTTTGACTCTATTATTTAATAAACATTCAGTCTTATCAAGTGAATTAAGTATATAATCTGGGGAAAATCCATAAAGAGTACCGTAGACTTTCTTTAGAATTCTCTTGCACCTCCTCACCAAAATTACAGGTGTTTGTGACAGATTCATATATCTGTTGGAAATAGGTACATGAATCTGTCTTAAGAGGTGACGCACTGAGGCTGGAGTGTCTGTACTGAAAACTCTTTCCTCAAGACAGCTCAGCATTAATGAGCTCCCTCCACAGCAACTGCGTCCATCATACAGACAGGAGCATGGGTGAGAAGTTTTTGTAGTGAGGTGGTGAAGACTCAAGGGATACTGAGAGACTAGTTCCCCAACAGGAGCCTAATGGTTAGGTGGAACCTGATGGAGAACTCTGAGACTAGTTCCCCATCAGGACTGCCATCCATTTGAATTATCATTGCCCAAATCTGGCCATTGCCAGATTTTCCTGCCCTTTTGTTTACTTTCAACTTTCATGTGGAAAATTTCCCAGCTCAATAGGCATGTGTCAGCCAGTGGCTGTCCATAATCCTAGCAACCACAAGCCTACCACAAGCAACCACAAGCCTGTTGCAGGAAACTGTCACAT